ACAAGTCCAATAGTGACATAACTTCATGAAATTATTTCTCCAAAAATGACTTTTACACAAACTAGCAAAGAACAAGTCTATACACAAAATTCAGGGTAGATATGAATAAAACTAAGCAAATACCTATTATCTAACAGTACTTTTAATCTCATTATTTTAATGACACACATAAATCTTCCTTGCCAGATGGAGGTCAATAATGTAAATATATATATGTATGTATGTACATAAATATATATTAAATCGGTAAACAAACATTTTGACCATAGTCAATATCTCAATCAAATCCTGTGATTTTTAATAATATTTAAACAGTGATGATGGTAAGAAATCCAAGTCATAATAATTTCATTAACATTAACATGCTCAGTACCATTCAATAAACATTGAATCTTGCTGAGAACCAGGTGCTGTGGAATATACAAATAGTAGAGATATAGTTCCTGCTCCTTAGGTCTATAATTCTAGTTATCACACAGTAAAATACAGAGAGATAAATCCTATTTACACCTAAATCTCAAATCAAATCTGGTTTTGTCTATTTCCATAACTTTAAGCTACTAGCATCTTATTTCCTTCATCTCTGTGACCTTTTCTAATGACCTCTGGCATTCATTTTTCATTGTATCCCAATATATTCACAATACTGCAGTTATACTAACTTTTTTGAAATGCAAGAGGGTATGCATTCTTTGGAAAAACTGCCTCTAGATTCAGAAACATGGTGCGGGGGAGTAAGGGATGGGGGGGGTCGGGATTTGTGGTGAAAGCCTATAGAAAGTCCAATAGCCTTCATCTAAGCTGTCCCTATAGCTCTGCAAATTAAGGACCTATCTGCCCTAGCAGAAGAGTACAGACTTGTCATTAGAAAACCGAACTAGAACAATCTCTAGACACTAATATTTGACGGTTTTCCCAAGGAAAATGCCAACTTGCCAAAGTACCTTTAAGTAAAGCCTACCAGGAGGCAAGCAAATAGGTTTTTAGTGTCTCAGAAAAATAAAAGAAACTATTACACCCATAGATGAGATTCTATGAAAAAAAAAGAAAACATAAAAAAATATTATAATGACAGAAATAAATGACTCAGTGGAAAAAGTTGAAGAAAAAGCTATAGAAATCTATCAGAAAACAGAAGATAAAGTTAGACATGCAATCTAGTGTTCCCACATTCAGTAGAACAAGTTTTGGCAAACCTTTTCTGTAAAAGGTCGGATAATAAATGCTTAGACTTTGCAGGCCGCAGTCTTTGTTGCAACTGTACCATTTTGCCATAATAGTATAAAAACAAAGAAAGAAGTAAACAAATGAGACAATCAGAAGGCCAGATATGCCTATGAGCCACAGTTTGCTGACTCTTAATATAAAATATCTAAAAAAGTAAAATAAAAAAGCAAAGACAGAAAGGCAGGAGAATAAATTATCAAAGAAATTTTCTCAGAACTAAAGAATATGAATTTTTATTGATCAAAAGGATCTACCACAATGCACAAGATCATCAAATTTCAGAATGTCAGAGATAAGCAGATCACAAAGCTCCCGAAGAGAGGGAGGAAAAAGAGAGGGAAATCAGATGATACCAGCTTTTTAAAGAGTAACACAAAAGAGCTAGAAGGCCTTCACTATTGAAAGAGAATTCCAAATAGAATTCTACATCTGGCAAACTTATCAATCACTTAGTAGAGGACTAAAGGTTGTTTTTATACATACCATTCCTTAAATATTTATCTCCTTTGGGCTGGGGATATAGCTCAGTTGGTAGAGTGCTTGCCTCGAATGCACAAGACCCGGGGTTCAATCCCCAGCACCACAAACAAGGAAAAAAAAATTACCTCCTGGGCACTGACAAATTACTCAAACAAAACAATGAAGTAAATTAAAAAATGAGGTAGATATGATACACAGGAAAACAGGGACCCAACACAGAGGAACATCTAAGGGAAGTTCCAGAGCAACAGCTGTGCAGCAAGCCTGGAGGGAATACACAGTGCAGCTGGGGGCAGAAGGGCTTCAGCGGGGAGTTGTCAAAATGAAGAAGGAAACTGATATATCTGAGCATATGAAAAACATTCATAAAACGTGACAGTGATGTGGAGCATCTGAAATAAATAGTCACAAATATAGTGAAAGCCAGGCATTTTTAAAAATGAGGCAATTATTAACTTCCAAAAAAGCAAAGGGCTATACTGTATTTCACTAGTTGATTTGGCAGAAAACAATATCTCAATAATCAAAATAATGAGATACTGAGTACTAATTTCACCAGATTGCAATATATGTAATTTTATACAGAAAAGGGAGGTAGGAGAGTAAAGTGGGAAACTAGAGCTCCACCAACAATGTTAAGAAGTAAAGAGGTTAACACCTAATCAGGAAATACCAATCTATACATGGCATTTAGTAATAAAGAGGTAAATACTAGGAAAAAGGGCCAAAAAGGTCCACAATGGTTTCTTCCAACTAGGACTTGGAAATGATGAGCAGGGTACTATAATTATCTCTACTTATATTTGATTATTTGATTTTTAAAACTATGTAAATATATTTTTAACTATTAGTTTTAAATAATTTAAACTTATCTTTTTTCTTTTTTGCTTATAAATAGTGCTTTTTAAATTTTTTTATTTATATATAACAGAGGAATGCATTACAATTCTTATTACACATATAGAGCACAATTTTTTCATATCTCTGGTTGTATACATAGTATATTTATACCAATTTGTGTCTTCATACATGGACTCTGGGTAATAATGATCATCACATTCAACCATCATTAATTACCCCCTGCCTCTTCCCTTCCCCTCCCACCCCTCTGCCCTATCTAGAGTTCATCTATTCTTCCCATGCTCCCTCTCCTTATCCCACTATGAATCAACTTCCTTATATCAAAGAAAACATTCAGCATTTGGTTTTTTGGGATTGGCTAACTTCACTTAGCAGTTTCTTCTCTAACTTAATCCATTTACCTACAAATGCCATGATTTTATTCTCTTTTATTGCTGAGTAATATTCCATTGTGTATATATGTCACATTTTTTTAATCCATTGATCTACTGAAGGGCATCTAGGTTGGTTCCACAATTTAGCTATTGTGAATTGTGTTGCTATAAACATTGATGTGACTGTGACCCTGTAGTATGCTGTTTTTAAGTCCTTTGGGTACAGATTCAGGAGAGGGATAACTGGGTCAAATGGTGGTTCCATTCCCAATTTTCCAAGAAATCTCCATACTGCTTTCCATATTGGCTGCACCAATTTGCAGTCCCACCAGCAGTGTATGAGTGTACCTTTGTCCCCTCATCCTCGCCAACACTTATTGTTGCTTGTCTTCAAAAGAGCTATCATTCTGACTGGAGTCAGATGAAATCTTAGAGTGGTGTTGATTTGTATCTCTCTAATTGATAGTGATGATGAACATTTTTTCATGTATTTGTTGATTGATTGTACATCATCTTCTGAGAAGTGTCTCTTCTGGTCCTTGGCCCAATTATTGATTGGATTATTTGGTTTTTTGGTATCTAGTTTTTTGAGTTCTTTATATACCCTAGTGATAGTGCTCTATCTGATGTGTGAGGGGTAAAGATTTGCTCCTAAGATGTAGGCTCTCTATTCACCTCACAGATTGTTTCTTTTGCTGAGAAGAAACTTTTTGGTTTGAGTCCATCCCATTTATTGATTCTTGATATTAATTCTTGTGCCACAGGTATCTTATTAAGGAAGTTGGGGCCTAATCCCACATGGTGGAGATTAGGGCCTACTTTTTCTTCTATTAGATGGAGAGTCTCTGGTTTAATTCTTAGGTCCTTGATCCACTTTGAGTTGAGTTTTGTACATGGTGAGACATAGGAGTTTAATTTTGTTTTGTTGTATATGGATTTCCAGTTTTCCCAGCACCATTTGTTGAAGAGGCTATCTTTTCTCCAATGCATGTTCTTGGCACCTTTGTCTAATATAAGATAATTTTTCAAAAGCAAATAACTAAGTTAGGTGCAGTGGCACAGGCCTTAAATCCCAGCAGCTGGGGAGGCTGAGGCAGGAAGATCTTGAGTTCAAAGCCAGCCTCAGCAACTTAGTCCCRAAAAGCAACTCATTGAGATCTTGTCTCTAAATAAAATACAAAAAAGGTCTGGGGATGTGGCTCAGTGGTTAAGTGCCCCTGGGTACTATCCTCGGTACCAAAAAAAAAAAAAAAAAAGCAACTAGCAAAGAGTATTTGCAATACATATTATATACAGAATAAATATATATTTTAAATTATAAGGTAATCTTATCAAAGATATCAGCATATAATAATTGCAAACAACATAAACAGACAATTAAGAAATATTATTGCCCAAGACATATGTGAAAAAACCTTCACCTATCAAAGCAATTAAAAAAAAAAAGTAGCACTATCTTAACCTACCAATTTAGCAAAAGGTTTTTGGAAAAATGTATTGATTGGGAGAGAGTAAGGTAATGTATCAATTCTGTAGAAAAATTTGATAATATGAAATAAAATTTTAAAAATATGTATGATATGTGATTCAGAAAGTCCTACTAAAAAATGTATCCTTAAGGAAATAATAACAAATACATTAAAAGGATTCAGGCACAGAGGAATATACACCTACCACCCCAATACAAAAATTCCAAAGATTTTGAGCATCAACATTAAGATATATGTAGAAAATTCCACACCAATTCCACATATGACCTCATGTGACAGGTTGCAGTCAGAACACAGGTACAGTTAAAAAACATTGTACATTATTACCTTCTGGCTATATGTTAAAGGTGTATATGAAATAGAAAATAAATTTCTTATTTAGGGTTGGGTGTCACCCCCAAGATAACACAATACACACATGCAAATATTCTAAAAACCCCAAAAATCTGAAATCTAAAACTCTTTTTGGTCATAGCATTCTGGACACGCAATCTGCATTATTTTAGCAAATCTTTTCCAAGACTGCCTTTTTCACATTGATTTACCAGAAATAATATTATAGCCTTACCTGAACTGTACGTCCTGCATTGATATGCTCTTCATGCAACTTGTCCCAGATTCTGCACCGTTGATACTACATAAAAGAGAGGAAAAAGGTACTAAATTTTTCATCACTAAAGGATTATTTAATTGTCATGTTACCACAAAAATCTCTCAAACTTAAATMTATCACTTAGAGAAGATAGTGATTTGGTGGTAGTAGTTAACTTTCCAAAGACCATATAAGTAGGAAGTTTTTGATAATATTACATACAAAGGAAATAATAAAAGAAACAAAAGATAAACAGATCTAGTTTATTTAATTTTATAGAAAAAATATGTATTTCTGTCAATATTGTAAACACTTTTGGAGATGGAAAATATAAAGAAAGAAAATGTAAGAGAATGTGAAAAATAAAAAGATTAACCCCATTCCTTATACATTCTTGTTTTGTACTATCAATTTTAAATGTTTGTCAGTACAAAATATTGAAAATTAAAATCTTAATTTAAAAAAAAGTAACATCAAAACTGCAGACTAGATAGTAAACAAAAACGAGATTAAAGATGTAACATATGTGTTTCAGTTTTTACCAAAGCAATATTTAGCTTTCAGAATATCATCCAAGAAACTTCATAAGCATAATAATCAAAATTTTTTCATTTGACAAGAACCAGGGTAAAATGTAATAACATTATAGAAAAAGCATTTATATAGCATATAAACATCAATACCAAATATCACATATGATGTTTGGTTGAAATAAAAGATTCAAAAAATTAAAATGTTAGCAGAAGTGACTAATGACATTAAAAACATTTTTTATATATTCTACACTGAAACAGAATCAACTTAGCAATGATTTGAAAAGACTTAAAAAATGAGAATACCCCATACATGCATGAAAGACATAATAAATCATAAGAGGAGAGCACTGAAAAATTTTTATAGGACATTTTAATATTCTTTGTTCTTCATATTCTTTAAATTTGGTAGTGAATGATGCAGTAAAATAAACTCTTGATATTTGTAAGATTTTTATATTGTCTAAAAACTAAATACTAATGGTTAAATTATATATATATATATATTAAGCTTAATATATATTCATAAATATCATCAAAACACTTTCATTTATAAGAAAAGTATCAGGTCCAGTATGAATACTCTTTTTTAGGTAGTGTTATAGTATTTTTTTTATTCCTTCTTCTTCTTGTTACCCTTGTGAGCTTATTTATACTATTCTCTATCTTCCTCAGCCTCTCCTTGCTTTCCCTTAAACACACTAGATTCTCTTCTTTCTTAAGTCCTTTGCTGTAGCTGTTCCTTCTGTTTAAATGATCTCCCAAGATATTCACTAGACTAATTTTTTCATGATTTTCATGTGCTTTCTCAAATCTTACCCTCTCAATAAGGCCTATCATGATCCTCTTATTTAATATTCCAACCTGCTCCTTCAACTAAGTTTGAGAAAAGAAACCAAAGATATACTTTTGGGAATAAACCATTTTGAAATTTATTGCTTATCACTAATTTGTCATTTGTCATTTCCTGTAATAAATAATTTTCCTTCTCATTACACCTGGCAGCTTGAATACAAACATTCATCTCTGCTCTTTTTTGAAACCCCATTAAATGAGGAAAAGGAACTTTAGAAGGTATAAATTAACATTAATAATGAGAATACAATGGAAAACATCACATGACGAGAAATTTTAACAAAGAATTGGAAGCCAGAAAGAATACAGACATGCTGCAACTGATTCAGCAGGTCCGAGAAAGCTGGAACTTCAGCCTGCAGAAGTGGAGGACTCTGTGGGAAAGAGACACTGAGAACAGGCCAAAAGCACTGCTCTCCTCCAGGAGGGCTATGAACCAGAGATACCAGCTACCAAGTCACCAGTGGAAGTATGTAGTGGGGCACAAAGCAGAAGCTTTGGTTGAAAGTTTATGTAAGGAGCAGGTTGTTTACCAGATCCGCTCTCTGCTTATCCACGAAATTTATACTATGTCCACCCCTTCAACTTTTCCACCCCCACCTCCACCACAACCATCACTTCGGATAAAATAAACAGCCCCAACAACAAGGACTAGAAGCTGTCTGCATCCTGAGTAGCTACAGACACTGGCATCTGGTGGCTCCCCATCAAAACAGATCTTCAGTTGTTCACCTCTCTAGACAAGGTCCCCACTACTATCTTGCTATTCAACTACCCATGCAGAAACATACACATACCTGTACCTTCTGATTAGCACTCTTAAAAATCAACAGCCAGCCAAGGAGACCTATAATATTATAGAAGGAAAGGAGGGAAGGAAGGAAGGAAGAAAGAAAGGAGGAAAGAACTCATTTAGGAAAAACAAAGAAACAGAAGAAGACTTGAAAAATAATACCACTATAGAAAGATGATATGATACTGGATCCATGAAACAAGGATTCTTTTGAAAAGTTGAGAGTATTTGGATGTGTACATGTACATAAGCACATTAAGAGAGAAAAAACACACACATACACATACACAGTAATGTGTATTTCCAGTAGCTCTATTTAAGCTGGAACGTGGATGCAATAGCTGGTGCTAGAGTAGACATTTGACATACAGGACAGAACAAGTTAAGATGGAGAACAAGATAAAAAGAGCTTGGGTCTTTCATGACCGCTGAGCTGCCATTGCAGGCTTGGACTGCCTCCATTACCATGAGATAGTAAAGACCAAAACAAAACAAAAGCACAAAATCTCTACCATTTTTTATACTATTTGGAGGTTTTCTTTCACTTGATCCTTACCATATCCTAACTAATACATGCTAACTAATACTGTGTATGTGCTACGAATTAAAATTTCCCCCAAATCCCTACAATACAAAACAAAGAACATTATGTTCCAAGCTTACTATCTTGTCATCCCTATTAACTATGCTCAAGTCTATCTTACATTAGCCAAGCAAACTGAGTGCTAACACTTCGCATTTCAGGATTACATGTTAATAAAATTTATCATGTATAATAAAATGAAATGCTGAAGGACCTATGGAATACAGCTCCAGGTGTCCACAGCACACTACTCTCATTGTTTTCAGATGTTGCAGAATCACGCCACTAAGGCTTACCTTCAATTTCCCTTCAGTCTGACTTTCTTCTTTTAAATTCATATTGGATGACTGATGGCCAGCATAATAAATATTTTATCTTTCTACACCTTTCTCCCAAGAAGAATATGGCTTTTTGAAGTGAGGCACTGTCAGACACCTGGAGTCCAAAATTAGTTCTTAATTCTTTTGTCCAGAGCACTGCAGCTTTCAAATGTTTTACACTGCCATAACATAACTGTTAAAATAAACTAGTGAATCCTATACAAAATGTTACTTTCTTATTAAACTAGAAGTCCTACAGATAGTAGAATGATCAAGGATATAAAACAAAGCCTAGTTCAGTATGAATTTAGCTGCTTGACTTAAGATAATATCACTTATAATTATTCTAATAATGTCTGAAATTTTCACAAAAAGTAAAAATTTCACAAAACACTAATAGTAAATGTTTGGACAAAGAGGGATCAATGTAACTAACCTGGAATAATTTTCTGATGACACATGGCACAATTAGTGAAATCAACAAGAGACCCATTCCTATCTCAACTACCTTTCTCCCAGGATTCTGGCTTTGCCATTGATGATGACTGATTTGGTCATTCAAGTGGCTAGGATCTGAGATAATGACAGGAGGCATTTTTTATAGAATAAATATAAGAAAACAGAACTCTAAGACATGTCAAAGCTCAAAGGTAATTATGACAATAAAAGGAAGAAATGGCCTTAAATACACCATAATCCACCTGTTTCTACCTTTCAGAATCAATTCATTTGCTAAATTCCCATATTCTTTGTAACTGAGCACTTCAGTGAGGTCAGGACTTTGAAACACATCTTATCAAACGTTCTACATGGAGATGATCAATCAAAAGTAAACAAGTCTATCCATATATTATAGTGCTAAAAGAACCAGGCCTTCTTCTTAAGCGAAGCATGGAACCCTTTAATTTGTTTCCATCCATGACAAGAATAACCAGTTTACCAGACAACTACTTCACCATCCTTAAAAGTCATGGCATCACCTATTGCTTATGAGTAAAGAAGAAAGAAATTAAGGAATGACAAAATACTGACCCTGAATTCTAGAGACAGTTTCATATTTTGCATTGAAATATCCATTTAGTATTTCTGGCACTTATTTTCTGTATTTTTAAAAGAACTGTAGTACTTGGAAGATACATGGTATCCATGGTAGAAAAAGCTAGCATTTTTCTGGTATAAACTGCTCAGTTGAAGGCAATGAAGAGTGTTAATATGTCAAGGCCTAATGACCAGATATTCCAACCCAACCAAAAAATCAAAAGAAAACCACCAGTGGAGAACTCTAATTTTAAACTTATACTGGTAGAGTTCCTTTTGAAAGAACAAATGTCACTGGACTGTCCCATAGCAAATAGGAGATCATAACCTGCCAAGTCAATACTCAGCGCTCAGTAAACTTGATGTTGACATAAATTCCAAAATCCATCCACCAGACCCTGGCCAGTGTAAATTCTATGCAATCTCCACCATAGTTCCTGAGACTAATCTATCTTCCTTCTATTTCCTCAAAAGATATAAACAGTATGTACCAATTTGAGGCTTTCCTCAAGTAAGGAAATTCCCTTATGTCACACAATTGATTTACTTCTTTAATATATCTGCACCTGAAAAGGATAGGAGTTAGACTGATAACACCCTCAAGGTTCAAAAAAACTTGCCACCGGCTGAATGAAATTAAACAGGTCCATTATCCAAAGTTCCCCTCCTTAACATTATGGTGCATTATTTTTATTTAATTACTAACTGCCTAACACCTCCACATGTACAATTAAAAAGGCATAGAATCTATTCCTACACCACTTCCTTAGAAAAAGAAATATATTTGTAGAACAGAAACACCAGCTTAAAAAATGAATAATGTTACTAAATCATTAGGAGTTAGGTATTTTAACAAAGCCTTTTATCTAATATTCTTAATTTAGCTGAAAAAATGCAACAAATATAAATCATATTATGTAACAATTTCTTGTGGTAGAAAATGAAAAAGCTTACCTTCTCAATATTAATTTGGTGCTTTCTTAACCTCTCCAGGTCTGTTGGGATGACTATCTTGGTGAATTTCTGGATAGCTGGTTCAAGACGGCGTAATTTCACTTTTTCTTCATCTTCAGACATCCTAGAGAAATGTTGTGTCACTTTCACTTGCAGCAACTGTCTTCTCCACTCATATAGAAAAACCTAAAAGGGAAAAATTTCTTAAGAATGTTTTTTAATCAGTTTTCATTATGTTTAAATCAACAGTTAGGTAGATTTATAATTTATCCTAAATATGTATTCAACTTAATGCTGAACTTGAGTTGACTTGTTTTTTCTTTATGAAACCATGCATTTCAAAATCTTTTTCTCTTTATGAAAGTTGTATATATTCACTCTAGAAGATTTATAAATGAAATCTAACTAAAAGAAGACATTAAATGAAACTAACAATGATCTCTTCATTTTTAGTTAACTACTATACATTTCAGTGTATGTCTCTTCAAGCCTTTTTCTATGTAAATATATTTTATAAAAAGGAGTATGCAGTGCAAGTTTCATGCCCTGAAATATCCTGGACATTGAATAACCTTTTTAAAAAGGAGTCAAACAGTGAAACTTTTTTTTTCACAATACCTTTATTTTATTTGTTTATTTTTATGTGGTATAGGGGATCGAACCCAGTGCCTCACACATGTTAGGCAATCGCTCTACCACTGAGCCACAACCCCGGCCCAAATGGTGAAACTTGAAGGAAAAAAATCATTCTAATATTTCTGCTTGTATCAAAATGTGCTTCTAATGTCATCAAAATTTAAATATGTAATTATATATTTCAAATATATTAACATGCAGAACTCTTCCCAGGGATGTCCTTTAGATCTACACTTCCCATTCTGACAAAGTGATTAATATTGATTGCAACTGACTCAAATAATCAGTGACAGAACTGTATTAAGAATTAGGTTTCCTGACACTACAATGAGAGGCTTTTTCTATTTCATCATTTTTCTATCATACCCAGGAAGTCTAAGGGCCAGGATAGGAGAGGGAAGGGGCTAGAAGTGAGCAGGCTCCAGAAGCTAAGCCTTGTTTCAGCTGCAGAAAATTTATTTACATCTATTTTATAAATTGGAGCTTATCACATCTTATGTGAATTAATGGGTTCCATTGCTTAGCCAAACTTGAAAACCACTATTGTACACCATGCTTACATGCCATCTCAATAGACACAACTTTTCCCATATTTAAAATATATATATATTTAAGCTGACAAGGTTAATACCATTGGCTTATGGTGTCAGCCCAGGGTTCGGAGAGATAGGAGTTCACATTTAGACTTTGTGCATCCCTGTTATCTTTAGAGTCCATTGCTTTCAAGAGATCTATTACCGCCCCTCCCAAACATCAAGAGCTACTACTCTAAATAATGTCTATTTTTCTTCTTTCTTTCACAGCTGAAAAATCTTCAAGTGTTGGTTATAAAAACTGCCTTCACTGCCTATCCACTAGTAATTTGGTTCTTATGTCTGACACAAGTTTTTAAAAAGAAAATTTCCAAACACCAGAAACAAAGAGGGCGAAATTGCTGCAGTAGTGAATGGGAAGTGGGAACATAAAATTAATTGTCAAAACAGAGAGTCTACAAATCCAATAAAATGGGAAAATTTATAGCTAAGAGACAAGAAATAAAACCTCAAAAGATGGATTAAATAGTAAACTATATAGCTAAAAAAAGAAGTACTGATTGAAAGATATCACTTAGAACATAGATGAATAAAAAGATGAAGAGATTTTAAAAAGAAGATAATGGACATAAAGGATAAAATGACAGGATCAAGAACAAATAGGGAATAAAGAAAAGAATGAAAATAAATTATTCAAAGAGAACATGCAGAGAATCAAGATTGTAAGACCTCAAAACTGGAAAAACACATTAGCCCAAGTAGTATAAAGAAAAATCAAACATACCTAAACATACAGAAAGGAAACTGAAGAATACCAAGGATAAAGAAAAAAATCTTAAAAGAAAACTAGAGATATAAGACAGATGAATGTAAACAACAGAAGCAGAAACCTTTTTATCAAAGCAACATATCAAAAGATAGGAATATCTTCAAAGTACTGAGGAAGCTGGTATAGACCTAAATAAATTATCATTCACAGTGAAGGCAAAATAATCATTTTCAGACATACAGAGACAGAGTTTATTACAAAACCCCTCATTAAAAGAATTACTAAAGCCATATTTTTTTAGAAATATTTTTTAGTTGTAGTTGGACACAATACTTTTATTTTATTTATTTATTTTTATGTGATGCTGAGGATTGAACCCACGGCCTTGCACATGCTATTCGAGTGCTCTACCACTGAGCCAGAACTCCAGCCCACTTAAAGCCATATTTTAAAAATAAAGAAAACAAACTCAAAGGAGTAGAATGGCAAGGAGCATTGAATATAATAAAATAGTACTGGATATAATAAATGACTAAAAGAAGAAATGATTTATTCTGAATAACATGATTAAATATAAGAAAAATGTTCCCATGTGAATAATTTCCTATTATATGACTTTGTATAGCAGCAAAGTATCATCATATGTATGTGATTCATAATGTAATCATATTGTTAGCTATTTAGTTTCCCAATTTTCCACTATTATAAAGAATACAGTAATTATTCTCTCTACATATAGATTCATACTGGTACCTATGATTATTTCTTTAAAAAATACCTAATAGAAATATTAGGAAGACACATTTTTTAAACATTAGATATTTATTTTTTTCATAGTTCTGGAGGCTAAAAGTCCAAGATCAGGTTGCCAATGTGGCTTTTTCTGATGAAGGCTCTTGGAAGACACATTTTAAAAGTACATTTACACACATTTTCCCAAATGTCCCAACGAAGATTGTGTCCATTTACATTTCCACAAGCAACATATCACAATGTCCATTTATCCACATTCCAACCAATTCACTTGGTATTTCCCTTCTTCTTAGATATCTTAGATATTTAATTGGTGGAGAAAAAGAAGTGTCTCACATTGCTTTAGTTTGCATTCATTAAATTACTAATAGAATTGATTCATTAGCCAATTGCATTTCTTCTTCTGTGAATTACCTGTTCATGTTATGCATATGTTTTACTACAGAGAATGTCTATTTATTATTAACTTATAAAAGTCTATTATATGCCAAATATATAGATTAAATGTTAACATTTCCCAGTTTATTACGTTGCCTTTTGTGCTTTCTTCTACTGTGCAGATTATATACTATAGGAAAATATCTTGAGGTCTACTATCATTCCTATTGAAGTGTTTCCTAATATAACCTGTTGCTCAATAGATGCTATCTGAGCTAAAACATTTATTCACTATTTTAATCCTATCACCCAAACAGCAAAATATGCATAGCACGATACAGATCTTTAATTTGTCTGCCTTTAGATTCTTTCCCCTTTCCAACTTTTCCTATGAGTTATCACTAATGAATATATATATATACACATTTATAAGTGTACATATATTTATATATATATATACACACACACATATATATATAAGCCAATTGCAGTATCTTACCTCTCTACACAAAACCTTTCAGTATTCACTATTATTTGAATAAGAAAATGTTTATAAGTAGATCTGTCTTATCTAGTCAATTATTATCTCCATGTCTGTAATTCTAGTTTTGGAATGATGTTCCCTCTGTCTAGATGCACTTTGATATTCATCTGCCTCTAAACCTTATGTATCATTTAACAGATGAGATGTAACTCAAGTGATTCTGTCTTGTCTTCTACTAATCAGTTTGTGGTGTACTTAACAATCCCTTATTAGTAACTATTTTGGCTTGTTATCATCATTCCTTCATTGTTGTATAATAGCTTTCTTTTTTGAATTCCAAATGTGGCATTTCCAGGTATATTGTATGATTCTGTCCCTCAGCTTTGTGTGTACAAGGAAAACCTATCCCGGCAATGGTGATCTCCCAGGAAAGACAATCTGTCTCCAAGAACCTCCCAAGAGGCTTTTCAACTCTTGGTCTCCTTCTAGCTAGTATTTTATAATATTTCTCTACCATTTTCTATGTTTAAAGTTACAATAAAATTTCTTTATAAAACTAATAATAGCATGCAAATAATTGCAGATATCATGATGTTATTGGCACAGAATGTTTAGTGATCATAAAATAGCTCAAATGTTTGTTATAATGGGATGATCTTAATTCAACATCTAAGTGTGATTTAAAAGTATGATTGAATAATGAATGAAAATATATTTTGCCATTTCTTGATTTTTCAGTCATAAAACTGTAATATTTATGGTACAATTAAAACATGAGGATAAAAAATATTCATATTAAGAGCTCACCTGTGTAATATGTCTGAGAAAAGACAAAGCGATACAAAAAGTGCCTAATCTCCCAAACTCCTGTAAAGTTGTTATATTATTTTTAATATTTTAATATTAATTTTTTAATATTTTCCAGTAAATAATAAATTATTTGGGGTGATAAGATCATTCTTATGAAATTATTATGATTGTGATGGTACATACACAACTATAGGCACTTGTTAAAACCTACAGAACTGTACACTTCAAAGAGTGAATGCAAGTGTATATAAATTTAAAAACAAGAATAAGATGTGGAAGGAAACCAAAATGAAACATAAACTATTAAAAATATCATTAACTGTAATAACATAACTATGTGGAAAGAAATAGGGAATAAAACAATAAAAGTAACTTCAGAAAACAATATTTTAACAAAATATAATAAGGCTAAAGACAAAAACAACTGCACTGTGTGCTAGTAAATTGGTTTCTCATAGGGATACATATTAGAAATCCTGAAATTACTTTATGTGTATAATAAGATTGAACAAATAAGGAAATATTTCACATAACATGAGAGCCAGATTTTTGTCAGAGAAATAAGTTAAAAATAAGGGACAAAACTAGATGAACCTGGTGATGTCAGAAAATAACTGGAATCATTGGGCTGAACCTAAAATATATATAGGTAGATAAAATACAGAAATAAATATAGATCTTCTTGTGTGCATGGATGTGTAGATACATATACAGCTGTCTTCTAAAAGGCTCTAAAAACAATGACACCCTTTGTGTACAAGGAAAACCTATCTCGGCAATGGTGATCTCCCAGGAAAGACAATCTGTCTCCAAGAATCTCCCAAGTGGCTTTTCAACTCTTGGTCTCCTTCTAGCTAGTATTTTACAATACTTCTCTACCATTTTCTACCTGACCAGGACTCTTCAGAGGTGTAAAGGTCATGAAAGCAGGAAAAGAGTGAGCAATTGTCATTGATTGGAAGAGATGAAGGAGCTATGACAACTAAATGTGGGGTCTTAGATTGGGTTCCGGACTACAGAAAGAACATTACTATTTTAAAAATGATGAAATAAGAAGAAAGTTAGGTGTTCAGTTAATAGTAGCAATGAGCACACCTAAAGTTCAGAAGTTGGTATCTAAACACCATTCTCCAAAAAAGAAACCTGATTCAGGGTTTGGGCAGGAACAACACAAAATGGATATGAAACATTTTATGATGCCAGAAAGAAATGACATTCTCAATAAAGGAGAAGAGCATATCTCAATAAAGGAGAAGAGCATATCAAAAGGGTACAGAAAGCAAACAAACAACAACAGCAAAAAACAAACTCACAATGGTCAAAGCATTAATTAATAACAAAATAAAAGAAAAATAACGAGGTCTACACCGATGCAAATAAATAGCTTAACATAAATAAATGAATGGGGAGAATGTACAACTCTTTTTTATAGAAGAATTCCAATTAATAAATAAAGAAGAAATGAAAAAAGTAGTAAATCACCATTTAAACACTATGGTAATAATTACACCAATGGATGCTAAGTTTAGCAAGGGAAATTTGAGGAGAAACAGGATACTTGCATAATCTAAAAGTTTTCCCCCAAGATATCTATTCATTATCAGGGGGAAAATCCAACCTTTGTAGTGGAGAATCCAGGCAGACACCATCTTAACTAAGTGATCAAGATTAACATCACAAGCCATAAATCATATCATGTACCCTGATACAATAAACTAAAATGGGCACATACATTTTTTGTACTAACAAAAACATATGACCTTAACCTAATCATTACAGACCATGGGAAAAACACCATTTGTGGGGCACTCTACAAGATACCTGACCAGGACTCTTCAGAGGTGTAAAGGTCATGAAAGCAGGAAAAGAGCGAGCAATTGTCATTGATGGGAAGAAATGAAGGAACTATGACAACTAAATGTGTGGTCTTAGATTGGGTTCTGGACTACAGAAAGAACATTACTATTTAAAAAAAATGATGAAATCAGAAGGAAGTTAGTTGCTCAGTTAGTAGTATTGAGATTAATTTCTTGCTTTCGATTGTACTATGGTGCTTAGAATGGTGACATTAACAGGAGACTTAGAGAATCCTGTATTACATTTGTAGCTTTTCTGTAATTGTAAAATTATTTCAAAATAAGAAGTCTTTTCATGTACAAAAAATAATGTTTCATAGAAGACAGACAGAAACTTTTATAAGCCAAAGAACTGCAATCATTTCCTTGTATGAAAACTTGGAGTGAGAGGTGCCAGGAGTGCACCAGGTGCTTTACAAACTTTATCATTTAGTGCTTACAACTAAAAGGGGATGGGTACACGACACCCAAGTTCCTGATGATTAAAAAGTACTCAAAAGTTAAGGAAAGTACTTAATAAGTTATTTATAAGTGAAAAATCCCATTTCCCAGTAAAAGTTCAAAATCGCTGGCAACACCATTCCCCCAAAGTAATGAACATCTTCCTAAAAGTGATGAGCCTAGAGATCTCACATGTGGGCATGGTGGTGGCGCCTGATTTTCTCGAGCACGTCGCTCTGTATTTCTTACTGATGCAAGAGGTACAGAATTTGGAGACAAAGGTTAAGGCCTTTGATCCCACTCTGGAGTCTCCTCTCTGGGCCTTGGACATCGAAAGGAGGGAGCTAGGTGTGGGACCTTCTGGAAACCACCTCCTGGTCTGGCTGACAGGTAGCTCCGGCCTCTTGCTCCAGTCCTCCCCACTGTACCCATGAGCGTCGCGTCATCCCTCGCAGTGTCACCCACAGCGCACCTGGGTCACACTGGGTCACACACATCAATCACCCCAGCAGCGAAAAGGTGTGCGGTCGGGTCCTGGGACCCAGACGCGGACGACCCTGGCGAGCTGGGCCCACAGTGCGCCACGGGCAGGGTAGGCACCAGGAACTTCCATCCCACAGTTCCAGGAGCCATCCCGTTCGCCCAGTTGGCGGCCTCCCTACACTCGCTTCCACCAAAAAACGAAACCGGGTGAGGCTCCGCCACTTCTTGTAGCCGAGAGGAGCCCGCGCGGTGCTCACACTTCCAATCTAGTGTCCCGCTTCCCGCCAGACGTCTCGCCCGCGCTCAGGGTCGGTGCCCAGCCAACATAGCCTGTCAGGCCCGACGCCCCCGAGGAGGCCTCCCGAGAGCCCCTTACCTCCCGCCGGGGCGTTCGAGGCCAGTCGGTGAGCACGGCGCAGGCGCGGCGGGGCGGGGCGTCACCAGGGGCGGGGCCAGATGAGCCCCGCCCTCTTCGGTCCTTGGAGGCCGGCGGGGGGCTGGGTGGTAGAGCACAGTGAGTGCGAACGCGGGCACCGTTAAGGACCACAACCTTAAAAAAAAAAAAAAAAAAGAAAAAGTGATCTTGCTTTACAAAGGTGGGTTTGTGACACTGGAGCCGGGAAGAGACGCACCAGCGTTTCTTAGGTCTCTTTGTGTGGTGTGTTGTAAGACAGTTCACATCTGTATAGCTCTCTGCATTTTGCAGTTTTCCTGCATATTTTCCTCTGTCCTATCTAGAATTTTATTGATGGGCTGGCCTTGTGTTCTTGTTTTTTATACGTGTAGAAACGGAAACTCAGAAAGGTTGTGCCTTTTTTCCCCCGCCCCAAAGCCCTGTGAAGTGGACAAGGTAGGAGTGCTTATCWTAACTGCAACAGGCACAGAAGTGGAAGCTCAGACAAACTGGGATTTTCTCCAAAAACCAGTGAAGTGCTTAAGGCAACTGGCCTTATTCCCGTTTTATAGGTAATGACTCTGAGGCTCAACAAAGAGTTTTAAGTGACTCACSGCAGTTCAGCTCCTGGTGACAGAGCTGAACCTCCCAGCTGGTTTTTSTAATTTCCTTCTCAAGTTATTCCAGTTAGACCAGTTGCTACCACAAGAACAAGCAGGTGGCTGATTTTGAAGCCCTGTGCAGGTCATTGGTCCTCCTCTCTGGATGGCCTAACTTCCAGACCCAGCCCTTTTAAAACTACGTATCTGTGAATATTCAGATAGCTTGCTTAGAATGTATCCGTTCTAAGCCTTGTTTTCAGAAGTCTTAAGGATGTTCAAACCACTTCTAAGGAAATTCAGTTCTTAAGGTCTTCTATTGGCATGGGAATGGAGATAGAAATTGTGGACTACATATTAGGTGGCTAACAAAGTCTGGAAAAGCAATATCTAAGATAAAGCACAAAATTTCCTAAGCAGTTCGAATATTCTTTGGGGTTATACTGAATACTGATGCTTATGTTGCAGTTAGCCCTAGGAATGACATGTTTATCAAATTTTAATTTTAAGGTGAAAATAGAAGTATTAAGCAATACCATGGCAAAATGTCTTTTAATGATCTTTTGGTGTAAAGGTCATTGGTGTCATTCTGAAATAGGATACCTCTAGTATAATAGGGAGATGTGGTACTCAAGGATTGTACATTTGAATCTGGCCTTCTAAATTGTTATATGTAGTTGCTATAAGGTAGGTGTGTCAGGTAGGATAATAGATGTTTTTAACCTAACAGTTGGTTAGCTTGTTTTACAGTCTTTAAATATTTGGACATATGGTTTGTTGACCTTTTTGTATATATATACTTTTGCCCTGGACCATGAAATTGTTAGTGACAGGCCTGTTCTTCAAGTTGTTTTCCTGAGATCCTAACTAAACTCAGTAATGCCAAACAAAACAAAACAATAAATATGCATTTGAGGAAGAAAACAAAAAAAATTATTTTAAGTATTATGATTGCTTTTTTAGGAGGATCCGTGGGAATTAACAGAAACAAGTTCAATAAAATAGAGAAATAACTTTCCTAAATGATAATTGCTAATTTAAAAAATATTGTGGAGGGGGCTGAAGATATAACTAAGTGGTATAGTGCTTGCGTAACATGTGTGAGGCACCACATAGAAATACATAAAATAAAGGTCCATTAACAACAACAAGAAATTGTTTTTAAATGTAGTGGAGAAAAGATCACATTCAAAAATAACAAAATAAGGGCTGGGGATGTTACTCAGTGAGAGTGTTTGCTTAGCAAGTGTGGGGCCATCTCCAGCATTGAAAAAAAAAAGTTCAGAAGCAAATAGAACCTATTTGAGGAATTGAAAAGCTAGATGGAGGGATTGAGGCAAAGGAAGGAAATACAAAGTGGTGTGAGGAAAACATCTGGAGGGAAACTCCAAAAGCATGTACTATAGTTGTTCCCATTTTACAGACTAGGAAATTGAGGCTTAACAAGAAATTTGCCCAAGGTCAAGGTCTCACGTATTAGATGAATGGAGTAACCAAATATGCACTTTTAACCTTGTCTTTATATTTCCATTAAGGATACAAATGAAGACTCAAATATATGGAAAAATAATACACTTTTTCCCCTGGTTTAAAAAAAAAACAAAAACTCAGTATTGTCAAGTTATCAGTTTCCCTGAAATTATTTTTAAAATTCAGCAAAATCCCCATCAAAATTTCATTATTATTTTTGTAATAAAACAGCTTTTAAAAATCCCAATTGATTGTACAACTATTATTCTCTTCTTGGAATGCCATTTTTTGCTTACTTACCCCTGCCTTTTCTTCCCCTCCACTCCCCACCCCCACTCCCCCCTACCCCCCACCTCCCCCTCCACCCCCCACCCTCGACTCCAGAGTAAAGACTTTAGGACTCAACTTGAAAGATTCTAGGTAGTTTTCCCCAACCTCTCAAGTCCAGGTTTAATGCTCCCTCATATGCTAATATTATAATCAATGCATAACTTTAATAGTATTTGTCATACTTAGTAGAATATCTTATCTTTGTGTCTGTCTCCTATTAGATTCTAAGTATTTTGAGGACAAATATATATTATTACTTAGAACTTAGCAGAGTTTCCTGGTACAAATAGGAAAACTATATATTTACTACATAAATTAAGACGTAATTTTTCTAATATTACAGAGCAAGTATATGGTGAACCTGATGTCAACTTTAAATTTAGCACAATGATATGGTTCTAATAACTTATCCTCCAAGCCCATTCCTTTTTTGAGAACTGCTTTTATCTTCCAGATCTGAATGCCAACAGTTATGAGCCTCTGGTGACGATTTCACATAAGCATGAACACAGGCCCCTGACCAAAGCAAATTGCTTCAGGAGCAGACATGAAACTCAAACTAGAACAATAAAATCTCTCTCTCTCTCTCTCTCTCTCTCTCTCTCTCTCTCTCTCTCTCTCAGGTACTTGGTATTGGGAGTAAGAATCTAACGTTAGCTGGTTTCCTGAATAAAGATGGTGACAACCGAGTGCTTGGTGGCCATGTGTTAGTGTGGGTACAGTAATAGATACCATAGAAAGGGTCACATAAACAGCAAAAGTTTGTTCTGGAGACTAGACATATAAAGCCAGAGTCCCAGTGTGGTTGGGTTCTGCTGAGGGCTCTCTTCCAGGTTGCAAACTACCAACTGTTCTCTGTACGCACACAGGGTGAAAAAAGAGGCCTAGAGAGCTCAACAGGGTCTCTTTTATGAGTCCTGCTTAACACCCACAATACCTAAATACCTCTCAAAGGCCCCACTTCTTAATACTATCACATTAGGAAGTGAGGATTCAAATATATGAATTTGGGGAGAAGCCATAAAGAATCAGTCCATAGCACCATGTTTTTGACTCTATAGATTAGCAAATCAGGGAAGATATGTTGTTTATAGATAAATTTGTAAGTATGGAGAGGTAAATATATGTATAATCCTAGGCAATAATTTTTTTATTGTAGGTCATGTTAAATAGTTCTCTAGCCATGAATTATTAAAATATCTATTGCACTTCTGAACATATTCTATTTCTTTGTGTATTTTATCACTCCACTATCAGGTCAACCAAGACAGAGGAAAGTTAAAGTGATAATAGCAGTTATGTTTGGGGTTAAATTAGCATGGGATGCTTTCTGAGGTACTGGAAATGTTCTATGTATTGATCTGGTATGATTGCATATGAGAAAATCCATCAAGCTGCACACTAAAGATATGTGTACTTCATGTAGGTTTACCTTAGTAAAAAAAAAAAAAAAAGGAAAATAAAGAACTATTTAAATCAATTTTTGATTTAAAACAAAATCTTTAGTAATCAAGGAATATATACTTCCTTAATATTGTTTTCTATTACCTCTCTTTGAACGGTAGTGAAATAGCAGCAGTAATCCTTATCCTTTTTAAAGACCTTGACCGCTTTGAAAACATAATAAAAATCCAAAGAAGAAAAAACAAGGAGAGGAGGATGCTTAGAAGCAACAAAAAAGAAAGTTGGAGTACTTTCAAAGTTCTGGTTCTAGTTCACTGCTGAGGCTTAGCTGCATCTCTACATTTAGGTCTGGTTATACTCCCCAAATCTTCTAAAAACCACCCCTCTTTGTTCCTTAATAGTTTTAGCTAACTCACATGAACTACTATTTTTTAAAATATATTCTTAAACTATATTTTATTTATTTATTTATATGGTGCTGAGGATCAAACCCAGTGCCTCACCTGTGCTAGGCAAACACTCTACCACTGAGCTATAGCCCCAGCCCCTGAACTGCTATTTTTTTTAGCACAATACCTTCATTTTATTTATTTGTTTATTTTTATGTGGTGCTTAGAATCGAACCCAGGGCCTCATACGTGCTAGGCAAATGCTCTACCACTGAGCCACAACCATGGCCCCTGAACTGCTATTTTCAATCAAGAGAGTTTTAACAATTGTAGTTACAAAATCCTATTTGTTTTTACTGTCTGATGAAACCATTTTAAAGTGGCATGGAACGTATTCACTGACTTTATTATTTAAACTTCCCCACTATCTGTTTTATTGTCCTCTGTCACCACAGAGACACAAGTGTGTGTGTGCACACACACACACCCCATCATCAAATGGTCTGTTCATATATGTTAAGATTATAAAGTCTTTATATCAAACTGGAAGGAGTAAATATTGCAGGGAAACAGCAACACTAGGATTTTCCACTCATCTCTCATTCATATGTAAGAATTTAATAATCATTTTGCATTTAGAATAGCTTTTGTGACCAGACATGTAACTGTAAACTGATTCCCTTTTTTCCTCTTTCTATCCCCTTGTTAGTATGTTAGATCAGTTAGCTTAACTATTCTCAAAACTTAGTGTGCCTAAAAATTATTGCATAAGGTAGAATTTATAAAGTCATGCTTAATGGATATTACAGGCAACTGAAAGATTTTTCAAA